AGCCAGGTGCACGAATCTCATCTCATACTCAAAAACTGTCATCCCTCCTTGGTGCAACCACATGAACTCAGCCTCCTTGGCGTGTCTCACGCTCTCCGGGAAGTACTTCTCCAATAACACTCCCCTGAAGCACTCTCAGTCAACAGCTACTCCTCTAGCAGTAAGCATATGGTGAGTACCCCTCCACCAATGCTCAGCCTTTCCTACTAGCATGTAAACAATGTATGCCAGCCTCCTCTCCTGAGAACATCCCAGCATAGTGAAGATCTTCTCCAGCTCACAGATCCAGTGGTCAGCTACCTTCAGATCTGCATCTCCCTTGAACTGTGGAGGATGGCATTTCCAGAACTCAGCAAGATCCCGACTCTCCTGTGACCTCGTGGGCCTTGCTGCACCAGCTGCAGCTCTATCAGCATCCATCCAAGCAAAATAGGCATTTTCCTACTACATAGCCATAGCCATCATCTCCATGGCACGGACTATCTGCTCATTGGTTCTAGTCATTGTCTACAAAAGTAACAGCATCTTCAATATACAATAACTAACCCAAACAACAATCAACAACACAACAAACAACAAGAAGTCAGCACAACACAGAGTTCAGCACAACAAAAGCCTAATGGAACCACCCCCAAAGAGTGTTCACTAGACTCGAACTGCTCTAATACCACTAAAGTGTAACGACCTGGCTGGTCACTACACACTGCACCACTCCACAGCACCACACAGAAAAGAACAAGTATATATATAAACAACAAAATATATACACAAGGTCAAATCTGGGGCTAAAACAAAATAAACAAAATACATCCATCACTACCCCACTAGGTAGCTAAAACAACAAAACATCAAAAGAATCAGCTCTATCTGCCAGCTGCAGACCTGCCACAAGTCACCAACCTAACCCTGCTCTACTTCCATACAAGGTATGGTCATCGCAGTCCAAACACATGGAAACAACAAAGGTAAGCTAGTGAAAAAAAATCAGCATATAAAACATATATAAGACATATGAATAGCTACAGCTATTAGCACATCATCAGCATATAACTCATCAACTATACAACATAACAACAAATAAACACACAATGCGTCGTCACGCATATCAACTCGGAGATCTCCTACAACAGCTCAGCCTTACGACCTACAACAATTTATATCAGCATACAACACAACACAGCTTAACAGTAATATCAACTTACAACACGGCTAACCAATACACAACACAGCATAGACAGCTCACAACACAACAATATTATAATCCAACATTTATCATCTAACAACACAACAATAGTAAATCAATAACAGCTCAGCATAGCATAGCATTATATATCAAATACAGCTTATTCATCAATTACAGCTTGACTCAGCATAAAGAAACATCTATCAGCAATTTCAGCAAATGATCAACACATCTCAACATAAGACAACAAAAAGGTAACAACACATACGCGCCCGACGCACTCATGGTCACGCCCGACGTGGCATAACCAGAGAGCACCAAGGGACCAGCGCGCCCGGCGCAATTCCTATTGCGCCCGGCGTGATGGTAGGCAGAGACCTCACAAGGTCTCATAAGCCCGGCATGCTAATCCCGCGCTCGGCGCAAGAAAGCAGAGACCTCCCCAAGGTCTCACGCCCGGCACAATATAAATTGCGCCCGGTGCCACCTCTGGTAGAGACTCCCAAGGAGTCTCCACGCTCGGCGAGACAAGGTCACGCCCGGTGCCACACCAGAACCACAAAACATAAGTCACCGTTGATATCACGCCCAGCGCTGTCCCACCACGCCCAGCGTGGGCCATCTAGAGGCTCACACTCTCAAGCTCGCCTGGCGCATACACCATTGCGCCCGGCGTGCTTGCCCAAATGGAGCCCTCTGATGGTCACGCGTCCGACGCGAAGAACTATGCCCGGCGTGATACCCAGCAACAACCCTCAAACTTTCAAAAATTTCACCAAATCCTGCAAAATCAACTAGAAAACCAACATGCAATCCATCCAAAAGTCCACATTTTCATCAAACATCACGAAAAACACCTCATTTTCAGCATGCAACCAACAAACAAGCAAAACCCCAAATTTTCACCCTAACCCCGAAAAACCCAAAAACGAATTTCTTCAATCTCAGCCCGAAATCATCAAACCATCAGCCCACAAATGAGTTTATGAACTCATTTTCAACAAAACACAGCCAAAAACTAGCTTCCCTTACCTCAGTGCAAGGAATCCGAGCTTCCGGGAAGAGACGAACGACGAACGAAGGAGAAGAGTGACGGAGAAGAAGGGAAACAACTCAAATCCACATGGCTCGACAAGAAAATCAATCCCTACTCAGCAACTTGAATCCAAGCAAAAAAGGAGAAGTAAAAGTTTGAGAGGGAATCAGCAAAAGTGAGTGAGAAGAGAGTTTGGGAAAGAAAAGAAAAAGGAAAGGGGTCTCACAATATTTATTTTAAAAAATAGAATCTATATAAAGAAAATATCAAGTAGTTTTAATATATACTTTTTTTAATCTTATTTTACTCTTAGATATATTTATTCTAACATATATCATTATATATAAGAGATACCCTTTATGATAATTTTTTTTTCTTCCTATTTTTATCTGGACAATTTTCTCCCTTACTTTTTTACAATTTTCTAAAACTACCTTTTTCTACTAGTTTTATATTGTTTATTTAGAAGTAAAAATAGAATAGGATATAAAAATATTAAATATATTTTTAGTCTTTTGAATTTGGGGTATATATATTTTTTTGTTTCTCAAACTTATAATTTTAATCTTTATAATTTTAAAAAAAAATATTTTAAATATCTCAAATCTAAAACTTATATTTCTTATACTTACAATCTCAAAAATTAATATTTCAGTCCTTCTCAATTTATCACTATCAATTACGATATTAATGAAATAAATTTTGAATTTGAGAAATTAAAATAATAATTTTTGATATTTTAGATTAAAAATATAAAATTTAAATTTGAAAAAGAAAAATCATATATCTTAAATTTAAAAGACTAAATATATAATTGTCAATAATAAATAAATGTGAAATTCACTTAAAAATAAAACCTCTTTTCCCATGCGAGAAAACTGACGAAAATGAGAGAATATTATCTAAATAGCGAGTTTCTATCTTGTGAACATATAGAAATATATATGATTAATATGGGTTATTGTTATGTATAAAGATTTCATACTGCTTTATACTTATTACCTAAGCTACTAGCTAATTATATTATATATTGATAAAAAAAAAACATTTTTCATATTTAAATTGAGATGGTGGGTACTAGCTAGCGTGGACCACCATTACAAGTGGTGCCACTGAACAACTTGTTTTTCATTTTTAAACATTGAGCAAGTTTATAAGATATTAATATGGTCTTTCCATATATTATCACCTCCCTAAGAAAATTCCAAGGTTGCCTCAGTCCTATGCCACTTCTTCAATAACATTATTGTCCTCGTAGGTTGATGATCCAGAGCATTAACTTTTTGCAACAAGTTTGTGATCTTTCAATATGATGTTTTTCTTTGGAACTTGTGGGCTCCATTTTCTTAATTAAATAGATAGATGAGCATTAAATATGATTTTTTAAAATATTTCTTATACAAGTTTTTTTATTAAATTATTTTCATGAGAGTCTAACTTTTTTAAGTTAAAAAAAATATATTTTATTATAATAAATATATTATGTTATTTTAAATTGTTTAATTAATACAATATAAATCTTTTACCAAATAAGTAAATTTAATCATTCATGGAAAATACATAATGGTGTGTTTGGATGAAGAATTTTACAAATTCAAGGAATTTTAAATTCTTGGTATTTGAATGACTTTGATTTCAATTTCTATCATTCTTAAAATATTTTGTTTGGATAAGTCAATTTAATTTTTTTAAAATTTTAAATTTTTAGGTTGGATATGATAATTTGATTCCACCATGGTAAAATTGATTTTAAAAATATATTTATATGTTGAGATTTTTAAATTAAATTTTATAAAAATAAATAATAGCTAATTTTTTAATATTTAATAATTTTAAAAATTAATATTAGATAATATTTAATAATTTTAAAAATATTTTTAAATATTCAATAATTAAAAACAAGAAGAGATAAGAGATAAGATAAAATATATAAGTGAAATAAGAAAAAGAAAAAAAGAGGAATTTCAAATTCTTACTTTTTTTGGAAGAATTTGAAATTCTACTATTTCAAGGAATTTCACAAATACTTGAATTTCAAATTCTTTATAAATTCTCCATCCAAACAAGGTATTTCATCTCAAGAAATTTGAAATTCTTCAAACAAATGAATTACTCTATTTAAATTTTCCATCCAAACACACTACAAAGGTTTATCATTTCTATGTATTTTGATCCCCCCCTCCTTTGAAGAAGACATGCTTGTAGAAACAGAAAAAGTATAGCTTTGGTTTTGGAATGATGTTATTTCTTTTTTTGGCTTTTAAAAATATTACATTAAAAATATATAAATTCTATTACATTACACAGTAATATTAAGGGAAAATATATATTTTTTTTATATAAAAAATTCATTTTATTTCTGTCCACTTTTCTATTTAACCAACCATGTAAAGTGACCCCTCAAAAAAAAAAAAACCATGTAAAGTGAAAAACCATTTTACATATTACGTATAGTTCGATTAATTTTAAATTCAATAAATAATTTAATATACTCTTTTAATTTAATATGTTTTGCATTGAACGGGTAATTTATCCTAGTATTTTTCAAAGATCTTAAAATTTTATCTATTTTTTTAACCAAATTTTTTTTATCTTTATTTTATTTTTCTGTATTCCACTTTTTACCCAAGCCAGTATGAATAACTTCTGGTAAAAAAAAAAAAAAGCACGAATGAGTTACCGTGATTAATTTGACATTGACCAGAGGAGTCAGCGAATAGCGGTTAGGGTTTAAGAAAATAATTATAAAAAAAAACTGTTTTGAATAGAAAATTAGAAAAAATCGCAATAGGGTTTTCAGTTACCCCCATTCAAAGGGCCATGTATATAAACCATTGTTATGTTGGTTTCCCACTCGCACGTTCTAAAACTGCAATTGAAGTTGTTGAAGCAATTAGAATTGGAGCAGACCCTATTTCAATTTTCAAGATTTGGTTTTTCTTTTAGCACCAAAACTACAGAACAAGCCCAGGAGAAGGAGAAGGAGAAGGACCATACCCTGAATTTGTTTTTGCATGATATAAGAAGAACAATGTCTTCAGATCTCAGTGATTATAAAATTATCAAGGAAGGAGAAGCCGAGATTCTCATGCACGCAAAAAATGAAGTCTTCTACAACAAAACTCAGGTCTTATTTTATTTAATTTTTAATTTTTTTTATTTGGTTTGGCTTTGGTATTATGCTTCTGTTGAAAAACCCAGTTGAAGTTTGTAGTTTCGCCCCGTTAATCCGATATAGCTTGCGTTTATTTCATGATAGAAAAATGTTAAAAATTGAATTTTTAAGATGTCTACTAGTTGGGTTTTATCAGCCGGACTCATTATTCATTCTCTTTTGTTATGTTTCTATGTAGTTCTTTTGTTTATTTATTTATTTTTAACTTTGTTTGGGCGTGAACAGAAAAAAATTAACATTGTTTAGTGTAGACTGATCCTTTGTTTTCTCTTTGTGAATTATTAGGTTAATAACAGGGACATATCAATTGCTGTTTTGAGAACATTTATATCGAAACGGAAGCAAGAGCACGAGGCGTATCTGGCTAAGAGAACAAAAGGGGCACAAAAGGTATCTGAAATTGATGATTCTTCTGAATTGGTTAAGGAGGATGTACCTGACACAACTCCAACAGAAGATCATAAATCTAATGGGGAATGTGGAGTTGAGGAAGAGGTATCTCCAGAAGAAAGGTGCAGCTCTATGGAAGAAGATTCAGTTAAGGTCACTGAAGAATGCAGCACTACAGAAGGGCAAATCAATCTCTCAGAGGGAAAAGGACAGAGGGAGCTGAAGCCCCCAAGAGTTCTTGAGGTTCCCCATAGTTTTTAGATTTCATTTATACAGCTTTTTCATGTCATTCTGACATCAGCATCATTGTTTTTCATTCAATGTTGATTTAATTTAAATGTTTTTCCCTGAAATTCAAATGCAGAGCAAGTATCATGTGTATAATTTCTCTCTTACTTGCCTGCACACAGGCCTTGTCTGCTTCTGGTCTAAGGTCTCTCAGATATGCTCGTGAAGTAGAAGGAATTGGTCAGGTTGTTGCTCTGGACAATGATAAAGGTGCTTCAAGGGTTTTTCAGTTCATATTTTCCTTGAATTTTATTCTTTGGTTTTAAACATGGAAATTTCTGCCTTTGTGTGGTTGGTCTGCTTTCTGGGCACTTACACAAATGTTACTATTTGTTTTGAGATTAGTGTTCTTCAATTTTTAAGCTTGTGCATCTTCGTGCTTACAAATTTTTGCTTCTGGCAGCTTCTGTTGAAGCTTGCAGAAGGAACATCAAATTCAATGGTTCAGTTGCAGTTTCAAAAGTGGAGTCTCATCTTGCTGATGCTCGTGTATATATGCTAACCCACCCTAAGGAATTTGATGTGGTAAGTGGATGCCACAGTTATGTCCTTTCATACACATTTTAATCTAAGGAAAATGCACTTTTAATTTTCTTTATGCATGCTGTTTTTTCAGGTTGATCTTGATCCTTATGGTTCGCCTTCTGTGTTTCTGGATTCAGCAGTTCAATCTGTTGTTGATGGAGGTATGCTGATGTGTACTGCAACAGACATGGCTGTGCTATGTGGGGGAAATGGGGAGGTTTGCTATTCAAAGTAATGTTTATACTCTTATTGGCTATAAACTTTCATTTGCCTTTTGTTTGGTTGATGGACTGAATTTCTAACATTTGTTATTCATACTAGATATGGATCATTCCCATTGAGAGGGAAATATTGCCATGAAATGGCTTTGAGGATTGTGCTGGCTTGCATTGAGGTATATATATATTTATAATGCTGAAGTTCTTTACAAAGAACTATTATAATTAGATTAGTTTAGATTATACTAGATATGGTTGGTTGTCTCATCTATTCTATGTCATCTATACCATTTCTATACCATTAAATTAAGGAAATAGATTTTCTCTTAACTGTTTTCTGTTCTCCAGTTTTACAGACTATTGTACTTGTACCCTAAAAGTATACACACTTATTACTCAACTCTCTTTCTATTACACATTTTGTCGGTATCCTCTGTAAGTTACTTTTTTGACTAACAAAAGTTTTCCTATTTCATTGTAAGTGTACCCTTAAAAATATTACCCACTTATTACTTGACTCTCTTTTACACATTTTGTCGGTATCCCTGAAAGTTACTTTTTTAGTAAGGAAAGTTTTCCTATTTCATTGTAAATGTAACGTTGACTACGATCTCTCTCTCTCTCTCCCCTGATTTCTCAATTATTTACTCGTTTTTGTAATTTTTTTGTCTCCACTTCTCTGGAATCATTATATCATGTAACTACGCTAAACCACTCTCTATTTTTATTTTGTTTTTTATATAAATATATAGAGGCAGAGGCACACAGTGCCTCTTTCCCCCTAATCAATATAAATCATACTAATATTTGGGAATTATTTGGGTTATTGCATTATATGTTCTTTTGCATCTAGCTACTTGTACAATGATGTCATGAAAGTCAACTGCACTTGAGAAAATGTTAGAAATGGCAAACATTAGAGCATTATATCAGTTTGACTATATCATAAACTATCTTATTCCTGATGCCCATGCCAGAGGGAATTACTAGCTATGGAATTTGCTTGATTAAGAGTATTTACGCATCTATTAGTCATGTTGATTATGCAACTGTGGATTTTCTTCTCCAATAAGACTAAGTGAACTAATGCAGTGTAGGAATTACAAGAGGGTTCAAGGCTGTATTCACTATTCATTCAATTGGCTGACAAGGGAAAATAACATATATTAATTTAAATCAGGAATAAAAATTATGGGTGTAGTTAGCTTAGTATTCTCTGTGCAATCTAAGAACATTAGTCCTGTACTTCTGAATTCATATCCGGATGCAACATGCAAAATGAACTCTGATAACATCTTGACTGTTTTGTTAATTCTTAAATTTATATTCTTCTGTAACATGGATGCTCAGATTGATGTTAAATAGTCAATCAATCATCAAAGACCAAATATTTTGTGTTAAAATTTGAATCAATTGAATATCTATCATCAATCAATATTTTAGAAGTATACATGTAATATTTTTGCTGTTCTTAAAATTGTAGAGTCATGCCAATCGGTACAAGCGGTATATTGTTCCTGTACTCTCTGTTCAGATGGATTTTTACCTTCGTGTTTTTGTTCGCATTTATACGTAAGTCCTCTAGTTTTCTTATAATGTCTTTTAGTAAATATTTTGTTATGTCTTTTTGAATTAATGATTCTCTGCCATTATATATCATTTTCTTTGATGCTGACTGAAAGATGAAATACTTGGTTGCAGTTCTGCCAGTGCTATGAAAAACACTCCCCTAAAGCTTTCATATGTTTATCAGTGCACTGGTTGTGATTCTTTCCACCTACAGCCCATTGGGAGGACCATTTCCAAGGTGCGTATCCTGTTCTAGTCTGTTATAGGCACCATTTCGACACATCAGTACATTGTGATTCATATTTGTTTGCGTCTGTAATGTATGAACCCAATTGGAAACAAAATAATTAATATCGATTCACCTATCCTATTGCTGTGACTCATGATATTATGCTGTTCTAATATGCTATGTAAATATCAAAGCTATTGGCCTTTTGATGTTGTCAGCTTATTCATGTCTGGTTTGAATTAGGGGTGACAAGGCAATCTACTTATCCATTGTCCATCTAATTCATGTATTACACAATATAATATTGATGGATTTTATCCAATCCATCCATTTAATTTTATGGGTGATTAGCGATCCATCTATTATGTTTTCAATATTGGATTGAGATTTTTCTTACTAAATTATTTTACACATTTTTTTGGTACATATTTGGATTGAGATTTTAAAAGATTAGTTTGGATTCTTTGGAATAAAAAAATCTTCTGGATTTTAAAAGATTATACAAAAATATAATGACTTATAAGATTTTTTTTTTAAATATACACCCTATTTTTGTATAATATTATGCAAAAATAGGGTGTAATTCTATTATGATATCTGTAGTGTTACTTTTACTATTAATTTATATTTTAAAATTGTATAAGTTTAGTGCTGGTGGACTTTGCCGGGATCACAATAGGCAACAAAATGAGTACTTGTGATTCAAATAGAAAATTAATATTGCTATATTTTTCTAGTTAATAAGCAGGCTCCTCTTAGTGCATTTCCCTGGACAGCGCATAGCTTAGAAAAAAATAAAACTACACTGAGGAACCAAAATAGATTTAAGAGAAATACACCGACCTCTGAGGTTAGTACTAATTACACCTTTAGTATTTGGAAAATCAAATCTACCTTCCGTAGTATGTGTACTATTCTTATGTTCACTTTGACACCTTTTTATAAAGAAATTACGCATACCTCCCCTTTTATCTATGAAGCCTTCGCAAGATCTCCTTTAAACAAAGCAAGGGAGGTAGGTGTAGTTTTCTAAACAAAAAGAACATAAGTGTAAAATTTAATGCTAACATGTGGCAGGTGTATCTAATTATCCCTAAATTTAATAGTTCTAGATCAGTGTGTTTTGGGGGATCTGATGGTTATTCTCTTTGCAATAGACCAGAGGGTGTCCTCTTTGTAGCCTGCATGGTTTTCTTTCAGTTTATTGCTTTATTTTCGTTCACTATAAAATGCAATTGATGCCTTGAGGGGGGAAACTTATTTTCATTTTTACTTTTTCAGAATACTAGTGTCAGATATTTACCAGGATTTGGTCCTGTTGTTCCTCAAGAGTGCAGTGATTGTGGGAAAAAATTCAATATGGGGGGTCCTATATGGTCTGCTCCCATCCACGACCAAGAATGGGTGTCTGCTATTCTAGCAGATGTGAAATCTATGAAAGACAGATATCCAGCTTATGAACGCATTTCAGCTGTTTTGACTACAATATCAGAGGTGTGTATTTCTGTGTATTTTATGACACATTGCACATAACATTTTATGGTCTGACTAGTTATGCAATTCTTCTAATATTAAAGGAGTATATTCTTTGCAGGAATTGCCTGATGTTCCCCTCTTCTTGAGTCTGCACAACCTCTGTGCAACCCTCAAATGCACTTCTCCATCAGCGATTATTTTCCGTTCTGCGGTAATCAATGCAGGTTATCGTATATCTGGGTCTCATGTCAATCCATTGGGGCTTAAATCAGATGCACCTATGGAGGTTATTTGGGATATAATGCGCTGCTGGGTAAGAGATCACACTTAACTAAAAGTTGTTCATTTACATTTTGGCCTTTTTGCTGCAGAATCATTTTTGTGATGTGTATGGGTTGGAACTTGTACATAGAACTTGTTTAATGACACTATTGACTAGAACTTGTTTGTTTTGTAATGCTTGGGTATGCTGGATAAAGTTTTAAAGAATGATTTGCATTTTATTCTTTGTTCACTGATTACTACAGGTGAAAAATCATCCTGTGAAACCTCAGCCAGCAGATCAACCAGGAAGTATAATACTTGCAAAGGAACCTGTTCTTCAGGTATATTAACCATTAAAATTTTGGTCTCATGCAAGATGTAGGGCTATTCCGCTTCCCATTACCACACCACCTTTATTCTGTGGCTTTGGGTGGCTATTTAAACAAGTTATGGAGGATTATATCTAAACAAATTTTGTATTATGAACTAGGAAGCACAAACATCTAATAAGTTATTAAATGTATTTTAGTTAAAACCATGATAGAACTAGATATGAGAATTTATTTTTGTGTAATTTATATCCATTGCTTTTAGTTATTATAATAGGGCATTTGGGCCATGTTGAATTGACATAAATTTGGACATGATCGTGGTCCAGATTTTGTCATTTGGCCTGGATTAATGATCAGGTGTAGTGATGGTGACTACAAATTTTCTTTTGTCTATGTCATTTTCAGGCTAATTTTGCTCGAGCTGTAGCATCTCTTAGCAAGGCACAAGCTAAGAAAGTTGCTCGCTTTCTTCCAAATCCTGAAAGACACTGGGGTCCAAAATTAAGGGCAGGGCGTCAAATTACTAGCAAGCATGTCTCTCTTTTGGGTCCTGAAGCAATTAATGGAGCTCTCAACCAGGAAGACAATGAAGAACCTAACAGTAAGAGGCCAAGGACTGAAGATAGTGTCACATCTTAGCTCATAAATGAAGTTTCGAAATTAATTTATCATCTATCTAGAGGTCATGGAATTCTATACTAATGGTTACTAAAGAAATCCATTTGTCTTCACTAAATTTTGCAGAGTAAGGCGAGTAAAGGTAGATAATGTGCCTTGTTTCTCAATTAGCAACTATGCACAATACTGAGGGAAGATTAAGGCACTTTGCATCAAATGAGATATTACAATTGGGCATCTTTTTTTGTCTTTTGGAATTATTGAAATTGTATTGTGGATTAATATTTAATTTTAGTGACTTTGCATTTGGTGTTCCTGATAGTTAAGGTTCCAACTTCTGAGTAAAATGTAGAATATTAAAATGAAAAGGAAATTGAAAACTTGGTCATCATGTGTAGCTCTCTACGTGTGTCTCTCCTCGTCTAGTATGAAGCTCTTGAAGTCCGATCCACATACTTGTGTTGTGTTCTACATGTGTACACCATAGAAAAATAATGTCACTTTTTTCTGGCCAACAAATTTGAGTCGAGTATGCAGGTTCTTGAAGGACGTTCAAAATGTTTGGTTACTTGGGTGGACCTTACCTACTGGCTATATATGTAATACTTTTTAAATTAAAGTATTCTAGAAAACTAAGAGGTCAGGAGTCCATGCTCTTCATTGAACCAATTTTATTATAACTCTAATCAAGAATTACTGTTATTTTCATCTAAGGATTGTTGAGATTGAATCAAGTGTGATGCAAATGTATAACAAAATGTAACATGATTGTTGTTTACTCGTCTATCTTGAGGTACATTAAAATTGCATTTAGAATGGATGTTTTTAAATTGTGGGGATTCTCCTGTTATTTAAATTGTGGATCACGTATTGAGTCTACCAAGCATTGTTAGCTTAAAATCTGAGTGTTCGGATGGGTAAAGAATTGGAACACTATTAAGATAAGTAGGTCCTTAGCCTATCCGTTTTCAACCGCTGTTCTCCTCAAGGGTAGGTTCTTATGCATTACTCACCTATTCGTCACTGAAAACATCACTTTTCATCCGACTTGCATGTATATGGCATGCCACCAGGGTTCATCATGGGGATTGAATTGAGATTTCTAGTTAAATTACTTATAGCTTACTTATTCCTTTTGATCATATTGGAATAGAGGTTGGGATTTGTACCGGTCTTCTTTTTCGTTAGAGCATGTTGTGTATTTTATTATTTATATTAATATTTTAAGTATTTTTTTGGGGGTATTATTATGTGTTAGGACGAAAGACAATAGTTGTATTTATTTTTATATTATGAGTTAATCATTCATACACTGCCAGTGTAAAGTTTTTTACACTGACAACTAATCATATCTTTTAAATTATTTTATTTTATTTTTATTTCATTAAATGAGCAATTAACATAATACTATTAAAAGATATGATTGGTTATCAGTGTAAAAAAAACTTTCCACTGACAATGTATAGGTGATTAATTCTTATATTATTACCTACCTCATCAAAAGAGAAGCCAAAAAGATGAAAAATATTAATATCACACTTTTTAATATACTCTTTTAAACATTATCTTTAATTGATTGAAATTTATTAAAAAATACTAGCAAGAAAAAGGCATTTCGTACCTGTATTATATTTTAAAAAATAAATAAATAAAAAAGAAAAAATGAGATATTACTCATAAAAAAGTAGTTATTAATAAATAAATAAAGGATAAAATGGTCTATGTAAAAATGGAAACAAAAATAATTATTGAAAGTAGTATCCCTTTTATATACTAATATAGATTTTTTAATTTGAAGTTCTTAAACTTAATTAAAAAATATTTTTTTTCTAATTTTTTAAATTAAAAGGGTATAATGGTAAAAAAAATGGAGATCAAAGTAGTTAGCGAAACGGGTATCCCCTTTATATATTAGTATAGATAAAATTTAGTGAATCTTATATTTTATACGACACTCTTAATTTTTTGTAATTTTCACTAAGTTATAACTAATAATAACGAAGAATGAAAAAATCAATTGACATAGACCAAAATTAGTTAAAACTAAGTTCAAATCAGGTAAAAGATTCTTTGAATCATTTTCTTGTTTTTATTTTTTTAAAATAATTTTTTTAATAAAGACGCATGAAACTTACTTACAAACATTATTATCTAATTCGTTATCATTTTTTTTTATATTACAAGACATGTAATTTAAGTTTTGTATGTTGATTTAAAATTTCACCAAATTAATTTTTATATATTTGTTGATTTATTGCTTAATATATGTCGAGTTTAATATATATTAAACTTGTCACGCCGAAGAAAAGGCCACGGAGGTCCTGGAGACTGCTTACAGGTCGTCGTCCAGAACCCAGACACAACTTGAAAACTCAAAAATAAATAAATAAATATATATATATATATATATATATATATAACAAAAGA